CTCATTCCATTATTTCAGATACTGATCAATTAGCATCATGCGTCCCAGGCTGATACACAGCGGAAATCCATTTTGGAGCGCCACTAAGGCGCCTGTCTAATGGAATTTTCTTTATTTTTCTTTATATATTTTCTAAAGCCACACCTTCTCAGACAAGGATTTGTGGTTTTTCCACGTCATGTCTGACAACAGACTGAATAGTATTCAATTTTGTAGTAACACATTACAAACAACTGGACAGACAGTTAAAATAATTTTTAGTAGTAATATATTTTATTGTCATTTAAAATGTGAACATGCTAATATAAACCCGTTAGCTCATATATAATTGTATATAACTCCTATGAGAGTTATTTCTTAATTTTCTTGTTTGTTTGTATATTTGTCACACTTTAATGTTTCAGATTAACAAACACATTTTTATAGTAGACAAAGATTACCGGCGTAAATATAAAGTATTGTTTTTAAATGATGATTTCATTTAAAAAGCTTATCAAACCCCCTTGTTTAATCATGATTCGACTTTGGTCAATCAAATTTTTTGGAAGCTGAGTTCAATTTCATTAGCCACACCCAGGCCTGATTACTGCCCACCTGCTGAATCCAGAAATAACTTACAATACAATACGACTTTATTTGTATTGCACATTTAAAACCAGAGGTACACCAAAGTGCTTCACAAAATCCACTAAAAGCAGTAGCAAAATACAAATGCAAATAGCAGGTGGAAAGCATTGATTAACCAAGCATACAAGATAAGCAGATATCGAAATAAAACTTCAAAAGCAAAATCAATACAAAACCTTGTTCAACAAAACAGAAGAAAAGGGTACTTACAAGAATCCTACTCTAGATAGCCAGGAAGGCTAAACCAAATAGATAAGTTTTCAATCGAGATTCTGGATCAAATCAGATGCACGAATAGCTTGTGGGAGACTGTTCCAGAGGTTAGGTGCAAACAGAGCGAAAGCACGGTCACCTCTGCTCTTTGCAGTGACCTAGGTTGCACCAAGAGCAATTGTCCTGATGATCTCAGTGCTCTCCTAGGAATATACAGGCTGAGAAGATCAATAAGATAACTAGGCGCGATATTATTTATGATTTTAAAAGTAAGCAATAAGATTTTAAAATTAATGTGATACTTAAATCGATGGTATCTGACAAAATGAAGCAGGTTAAAAGATCTCAAAAAGCAACACACCATGATCTAAAGAAGCGACTGAGAAACAAAGTCATTGACATCTATGAGTCTGGAAAGGGTTACAATGAACCAGTGTATCAAAATGACTCCAAGAGCACATCAACGACTCATCCAGGAGCTCACAAGACTGGATAACCACATCTAAAGAACTGCAGGCATAAACTAACATTTCACAAAAAGACCATCGTGCCAACAGTCTAGCATGGTGGTGGTAGTGATGGTCTGGGGGTGTTTTGCTTCTTGACTTGGATGACTTGCTGTAGTTGATGAAACTTTGAATTCTGCTCTCTACCAGAAAATCCTGAAGGAGAGTGTCCACCCATCAGTTCATGCCCTGAAGCTCAAGTTCATTTGGGTGATGCAGCAGGACAGTGAGCCAAAGATGTTTTACCCCCTTAATAACTACTTAGGTTATTTTTGTCTAATGTCAAACTTTTTTGGATGATTTGAAACATGTACGTGTGACAAATATGTGAAAACCTAAAAACCAGGAGGGGGTAAATACTTTTTCAGTGCATTGTACATATTTATGTCCTGGAAGCAAGATATTTTAAAATTCTGATAGTTGAAAACAAAATTAAGATAAGGGATATAAACTACCTTCATCATCTACAGTTCCTCATCATTTTAATAAACATTACTTACCCTCCAATATAATATCTGTTTGATTATCCACCTGCCTGTCTCATTTTCATACTTGTATTTAATTTCGAAGATCAAGGTGATAAATATGTGCTCGTATCAACTTGTTTTAAAAACCAGCTTTCATTACAGTTCTTTCAATTAAAACAAGCAAAACAGATGAGAAAATAACAACAGTTTGAACTACACCCTGCATTGTTACATGATCACACTGCCTCAGCATCACTTCTAGTATCATATTTCTGTGATGGGATTTGCAACTCAATAAAGAGCTTGAGGACTACTCAACACTGACATTACACAGCACTGTGGAGATGTCACTAATTACAGCCTCCAAGGTTCAGGTTCTGCATCATAAAGCTATCAGCACTGACATTGGCAGACTCTCAGGAGAATTTCCAGTTTTCCTTTTGTTACTGAAAGCCTAAAAAATGAAACCCTGTTGTGTTTCCACATGTCTAAACTGCTCATTTGCCTTCTTGCAAATCTAATATCTCAAAAGTGGCAATTAAGCACCAAAAATACAATCTGGAAACACAGAGATTGATGAAACAATCAGACAAAAATGCACCTAAGAAAGTGAATTTTCTACCGTGCAAAACAAAATCCAGTGCATACATGACTGATTGCAGCTGTCAGCGTCTCTGCTCTAGCCTTCCTAGTTTCCTCCAACACAATTACAAATTTAAAAAAAAAATGCTGAGATGGTTTGCACATGTGCAGAGGAGGCATAGTACACATGAGCAAAGGTGCTGAATATGGAGATTTCAAAAAGGAGGAATAGAATAAGACCACAGAGAAGATTGAATTTGGTGAATTTAGTGAAGGAAGACATGCAGGGGGTGGTGTGACACAGGACGATGCTAGAGATAGGGTAAGATGGAGGGAGACGATCTTCCCCTAAAGAGAGCAGCCAAAAGAAGAACACATGTATGATTTTAGGTTTCTGCTGCTAACAGCTCTCTAGCACTAAAACTAAAATAATAAAGTGACATTAACACTACATAAGTACAAAATTAAAAGTGATATGCTCTAAATATTATCTCATATTTGTCTCCACAGAGTGAAGATGAAGCTCTATTCATTGTCCATGCTTAGTTTGTCACTTATCTTGCTTAATACCCCTTTCTCGCTGACCAGGGGAAAGGGAGGGAGAGGAAAAAGTTCGGGCAGCAAAAAAGTCTCTTCGGGCACCAATACAGGATACAAACCCAAAAAAGACTCCACCCCTCAGGGTGGCCATCCAAAACAAAACAATCAGGGCAGTCCCGGGCAGCAAGGCAATTATCCCAGACAACCAGGTGCAGCAGGCAACCCTAACCAGTATCCGGGACAAAGTTCTCCGTATGGAGGCTATGGAGGAGGTTATGGAGGCTATGGAGGAGGTTATGGAGGTAATCGTCCTTCTGAGAATTCCAGAGGGTTTGCTCGCAGTGCAGTAGTAGCTGCAGCTGGAGGTGCAGTGGCAGGAACGGCCCTGGGCTATGGGTTAGGACAGTTCCACAATCCTCACTTTACTGTCCGCAGCCCTCAAGAGGAGTATTATTACAAACACTACATGCACAGGAACCATGGGTCTAAAATCCAAACTAATAGAAATACTAACAAAAATACTAATACCAATACTAATACTACTGAATACAGCAGCGACAAAGGAAGAGATGCCGTAATTACTCAACCCGTTCAGAGTTATGAAGACTACATGGATGCCTGTATGAAGAGGTCTGACATTTTGCCGGTGAAAACTCAAAAGCCCCAAATCAAACCAGGTACAACTGCCACAGCTACAACCAAAACCAACACGTCTACTCTTGTGACATCACAGAGCAACGACACTGCCACAGAAAACCCCTCGACCCCCACCCCTGCAAGTCCAGGCCCTCCAAATCAGCCCGAAGAAGATGACACAGTCAGCATTGTGGAGATCGGCTACCCGGCACTGATCGAGCAGGTGAAAACCAGGAGATGCTTGGAGTTGTACATGGCTTACTCCATGAAGTACATGAGACAGGAAGGGCCGAAAGACGGGAGTACAGGAGGGGTAGAAGGATTGGAGATGGGCTTTCAAAGACTTTTAGCAGTAGTTACAAGTGCTATGCTGATGCTACTTAACAGCAATGTACCTGTGCTGCTGCACTGAGATGTTCATTTGACATTATAGAGAATGTGTTCATGAATAAGATGAAAGATGACAAGATGAAAAATAACTTGGTGGAAAGGAACCTGTAATCCTTTCTTTATTTTGTGCTGACTTCTGCTGTGAGATTTTATACTTTATTTTATACTTTATGCTTCATATAAAGCAAACATTGACGGCACAGATGGCTGACTTGTGATTACAGGAGAAATTAAAATAAATAGTTACAAAGCCTTTTCCTGTAACTGTAAAACAAAACGAGCTAAAGGGTTGTTTCTTATGGGAGAATGTGAATGTTTTCATTAATCCTAAAGGCTTGCACTTTTTCCTCGTCATGTTAAATAAATGAAATAGCTTTACTAACTTGTACTTGTGGATATTTCATTGCTTCGGAGCTGGCAAATGACAATGTCTCGTAGCATTAGTGTTATGAAAACGGTAGAGTCAGCATTGGATTATGTATTTTTTATGTTATTGTATCCATCCAGCACCTCCAAATCTGGGATCATGAGCCCGTCCAGGCCTCCTCCACACCATTATTGTGTTGGGTAATGACATAATTTTCTCTTGGGGAATATGCTACACTAAGCTAGATGTTGTGATGGGTTTCTCTTTCCCATTTAAAGGATCATGTGATCACTCAGCTCCGTATTAGTCTGTAGATTTCCAGACATTCAACGATCCCTAACAAATGTATCAAACTGTGTGATTTGGCCCCCCCTAATGGTCCCGGTCTCTCTGATAGACTTGCTTTGTAAAGAATGGTCTATTTTACTTGTACCTCAGATTTAAATGCCACATTTAACTCTCTTGTCAGACCTTTAACCTGCTTCATTATAGAAATAATTAAGAACTAGCAAACACTTATCAGCTCAAATTAAATATGAACCCCTGAAAATAGGGCATCGTGTATAAAAATGGCTGCGGCTCCATAAAGGTTAATGCAATATTCTTGTTAAGCATTTCAAATTAAAGCTGGCCGTCTGCACGTTGACCTTTTATTCATTTTATAACTGTAGGTCCAGTGTGTTGGTACACAAAATACCAGACATAACTTAAATAAGTGCACTATTTTGATTTTTACACTTAAATGTTTCAGATAATCAAATCAATTTTTATATTAGACAAAGAAACCTGAGTAAATGCAAAATGCAGTTTGTAAATGATGATTTCTTTTATTAGGAAGAAAAAAAGCTGTTCAAACGACCTGAAACCGTGTGAAAAAGTAATTGCCTCTCCTTGTTAGATTATAAATTAACTTTGATTAACCACTTTTTTTTTGGAAAGCTCAGTTCAGTTTCACTAGCCACACTTAGCCCCGATTATTGCCCTCATAACACAATGCTTCATATCACAATCTAAAGAAACCCAAGAACAAATGAGAAACAAAGTCAGTGACGTCAGTCTGAAAAGGATTACAAAGGTTCCTAAGGCTTAATAATAATCTAAAATAATCTAAAATGATGTGGTTAGCATGGAGAATGAATGTCAACACGAAGCTATATCACACATTTATTTTACATTCATAACAGTTTTAAATATTAAAGAACATTCTTTAATAAAAATCTACAAATGATCATAAAACATTTAATTATGCAAATATGTCAACGAAAGCAATACTAAAAAATATAACCTATACACAATATACAGCATATACAGGATAGCAACATCACATCAAATCAGATTACATTTCGTGACTTTAATAATGATTTTTGACCGCGTGTTTTCATATTCAGCGTAATGGTGTCACATTGATAAGTCAAACTCCTCTTATTGTCCTCACACAGGGTCACTGAAGTGTCCATAAAACAAATTGGCAACAGGTTTTTATTTCTGAAAACTCAAATTTCAGGTGAATTATGACTTTAAAAATGTCCCCTTTACAGTAGGATGGGTTATTTTTGAAAGGAGGGTTTTTTCTGGTGTGTTTGTAAATCTCAGCTTCGTCTCCAGCGCTACATGAATGCCACCCAGTGGCCCATGAGCAGGGACATTAGGGAGCCAATGACAACAATGATGCTGTTGTAGATTGGGCCACTGGATGCTCCGGTGTAGTACTCTACATCACCAGAGCCCTCTGGCTCATAGCCAGGGCGGGGGCCATAGCCGTAACCACCTCCGTATCGTGGGTATCCATAACCTCCTCCATACCCTCCATATCCACCATATCCTCCGAATCCTCCGCCATACCCATACCCATACCCAGGACGGCTCAAGGCAGAGCCGAGCATGGATCCTCCTATTGCTCCTGCAGCAGCTGCCCCAGCTACTTTCCCGGCACTGGGGCCACTGCTCTGGACAGGCGGTGGTCTGTAGGGCTGACCTCCCCACCCCCGGCTGTAGCCTCCTCCTCCTCGGCTGAACCCACCACCTCCACGTCCACGGCGGGCCTTGGAGCCGGGTAACAGTGTGGCCAGGAGCAGCACACAGAGGGCCACTGTGGAAAGTTTGTGCATTTCCAACGTGATTTTCATCCTGTCAAAATAAGATTATAGAAACTTTATTAGGACTGAATTGGTTAATGAGGTTAATGAACTTCATTAGTAATCACTTTTACATTTTTATAGACTTGCTTTTACTTCTATTACATGTTACATCATCTTTCAGTTGTGTTGTTAATTTTTTTGCTCAGCTTTGTTCTGTCATTGGGATTTAAAAAGTTATGTATTCATTTTGCTATTATAAACAGGAAAATCAAATTTTTGTTTCTGCTGTTGCTGTTTTAGACTATACATAGTAAAATAATTACCCAACAAGTACCAACCAAGGATTTCGTTTAAATCATTTAAAGAGAAAATATTTATTTGCATTATTACTACTTGAATGGTGAGTACTTAAATTTATTTTTTTTTAAAACTATACTTTATACATTATATAAAATGGAAAGGTTCTTGAACTCACACAAACACACTGATGAGATGTTCTCAGTGCAGCTTTAGTCCTGCTGTGTGGTATTATTACACTGCTGATGAATTAGGAACAGCACAGATCACTGCTCTTAATCCAGCTTTGAGAAACAAATCTTACACAAGCACTGTGGCATGAGTGCTGAAGCAGACAAGGGATCAGATCAGACTCATATTTTCTAATGCACCTCAGTTAGGATCCTGTAGATGGGGTCTGTTTCTAAATCTATGGATTAGCTCGTTTTTGTTGGGATGAAATTCATATTTTCTTAATTCTGAAATCTGACTATTTTTGACCTAATCCTAAATTATGGACAGGCTAAGACATAAGATAACCATGTAAAAAGAATTAGAGAAAGATGACACAGGCCATAAAAATAATGTATTAACAAACATCCAGGCTACATTTATATATGAGGTTTAGGTGTAGGCTATGCACCATAAATACAATATTATTGATGTATTATTATAAAATATCCAACATTAAATTATGTAAACTCCAAAAAAAACAAAAACCTAGTAAAAACATATTGCATTAAGTATGTCACTGCTATAATCTGTACTAACAAAATATTAGTGAAGATTGTACTTTATATACAGTGTGGTAGGACAAGTGTATTTTTAAGTACTGTGAAGTCTAAGCAGGTCCTGTATCTAGTAATAATTTCAGTAATGAGGTGAACATGAGGACTAACATTAGAGTTAGTGACTTGTTTGTGCCACTAAAAAGTATCTCAAAATTTTAATAACTCAACTTGAAATATTGAATCATGTTGAAATATTGAGATAAAATTGGGTGGCAATTTCTGTTTTTCTGTGGCAGAAATACGCTTGCATCAAAACATTTACTCAAATCTGTACACTTTTGATGTATGCATGACTACATTGAGTGGGTTTTTTAATGCTACTTTGCACATGCACTCTGACACATTTTAAAAAGAAATATTGCACTTTTTACTTTTATTCACCAGCTTTATTTTAATTAAGTCTTCTCTGGATGAGGATTTAAATAGATAATTTTAATAAGTATGTTATAGAGTTTTAAGAAATACTCTCCAGTATTTAAAACGCCTACAGCAGTTTCACCTTGACCAACTGCGTCACTGAAGGATAGCTCACATATTAGAGCATCGATAACACCAATCCACTAATAAGGATCGCTATCACTGAATCATAGCTACGTCTGTTTTTCAAACTTTAAATCCAATTTAAAGCAAAGTTTAATCCGCTCCACTTAAATTCTCTTTTATCAACCATTCAGTCTATAAATCCAGGTTGGTTTTATATATTATTATTAAGTATCCATGATTAAAAGAGAACTTAGAGTTGACTTTTTATTTATTATAATCCTTGTTTGTACCTTGAGATGCATTCATATTAATTGTAATTAGTACTACCATGTGTTGCTTGAGAATTAGGATTTGACAAATACCACAGTCTTTGTACGCTGTATGCAACTTTTATATTACATTACTTTGTATAGTACTACTAATTCTTTTACAAAGAAATGAAATACATGTCCCACCACTGATTATATGACCATGACATCATTGGCTCTGTCAACAGACGGTGTACACTGTCTAATCTGTGTCCTCTTACAAGGTAACTCGAGCTATAATTACACTGGGTCAGTTAGTTTGAGAATAATCCAGTGACTCTCAGATTACAGCTACACTTTCTAGATATAAGCTCTGATCTGTGCAAATATTTTTTTTAAATATCCCAGAAATAAGAACAAAAGGCTGTAACTCACTGAGCCTCATACAATAAACATCCCACATTTTAATATAAATTAGTAACATGAAGAAAAAAGAGAAAAAAATAGAAATAAAAAAAGTCTTACCTGCGAAATTAATATTTTTTTGTGTGGCGGAGATTTGGATGGTATTCCTCTTTGGGAAGCTGAAGCCAAAAGTGATGTTCGCAGCTCAGACTCCTTTTCTTGTCTGTGGGAAAGTATGTTTCAGGGCCAGCCTGTTATCCGTCAGACAATCTCAATCACCTCATTGGCTGACTGTGCAGTAAGCTGCTGGTGCTGCCGACATCACGCATAAATACCTGAGAGCGCGGGCTTAACATTTGCGTTTCTAATTTTATCTGAATTATTTAACTCTCCGAGTAAACAAACCAGAACATTCAGCGAGCTCTCCCGAAGCTTCTGCCACTGCAAACGAATTCAGCATCGTTAGGTAGCAGTGACTGCAACAAAAACAGATGAGAACTACAAGTTCATTTTCCCCAGACAAATTTTTTATTAAATAACAAACATTGTACGAAAACTTCCACAAAGTAGTGGCAAGAGTTAACACTTTAAAGGCTAAAATTTCTTCTTTACTTTGTAAAAGACACAATACAAAAGCAGGCAAGTCTTAGTCACTAAAAACACAACATGCATGCTCTCACACAATCTTCGGGGCGTCGTCCACTGCGTGTCAGAAATACTGAACTGTCAGGCGGAAGGAGACAAAGTGCTGTACATGTGGAGGCAAACCGCACTGCTTAGAAATGCTCGTTCGTACGTTTAAAAACATTCTCCGTAAAATTCACAGTCTTGTGGGATTATCGTTTTGTGCTTCTTGTCTCTGCTGGATGTAGATGTCAAAAAAACTAAAAAAAAAAAACTAAATCAAAATGAAAACAAAACATGAAGATTTTGTGCAATCTGGTTAACGTCAGGCAAACCTTTAGCGTAAGAGTGTGTGTAGGAACAAAACAAGTAGCTCAAAAAGTTGCATTATTCCAAGGAATAGTCTGTTATTTTGGGGAACTTCTGGATCTAACTTCATGCTGAGAGTTTGGCTTCAATGTCACCAGATCTCATTTAAAACTCAGTAAGCAGGACAAAGACCGGTGCCACCAAACATAAACAGTTGAAGTTTTGGGGGTTTGATATGCAGGAATCACTTCTCCATACTCTTTCACTTGGGCTTTTTATGCATTAAATTTAATGAAATATGTAAGGTTAATTTTTGTCACCGTCAGACCACTCCACATTTACAGGATGGTTGTTCCCTGTGATTCTCAGTCTTACATGCTGCCTACATGTAAAATTGCCAAATACTGTGTGTAACTGCATTATCACAGTCACAGCCTGCAGTGGCAATAAAAAGATTTCACATCAATGAAATGAAAAAGGTCCTAAATGTTTACATCAGCTTCAAAGTATCCCACCAACTTTGTGTGTTTTGTGCTTGGAGAAACCTATATAGTCACTATAAGATGACATTTGTGCTTTAAAACGATTTTGAATATTTCCTGCAGCGAAGGCAGAAGACAGGTTACATTTTAGCCTCATCTTGCAGGCTAACAGACTAAAAAAAGGTTAAAAAACACAAACAGGAGACGTTTGTCCGAGTGCTCTGTTCATGGTAAAGAAAAGCAAAGAAAAAAAAAGTGTGTGTGTTGCCATGACTCTCAGTATCACAGAGATGGTCACACTCAACACGTGCACGAAAGAGCAAACTGTGGGCTGACTGATTGTGGGATGTGCTGAGGGAGGACAGTTGGTGAAACATGTACTTGTTGCTCTTGTCAGCTGATTCTTGGTCATTCTCTTGGTCACGGCTTGGCAGCTGTGGTGACAGTTTGGTGTGGGGGGCCCTACCATAAGCAGATCACATACACTTTGCCCCCTCTGGAAGACACTGGAGCTGCTTCTCGATTATATTCCGAATATAGTTATACCTGCAAATATGAAGGCAGAGGAAGACCAAATCTGAGGATTTTTTTAAAGAGCCAATAAAAACACGTGCACATCCACATTAGACTGGGGGCAGGTGGTGGGCTAAAAAATAGTTTAAAAATAGCTTGTAGGCCTCCACTTTTCATATTTATTGCAGCTCATAAAAGTTAAAGATGTTAAGATTATGTTTACTGAATGCCAGGACAGATTAAAAATGTATTTCTTATACCTTCTCCTGAGTTTCTGCACCTCTCTGTCCTCCTCTTCCTTTAGCTTGGTGATGAAACTCTGGAGGACAGGCATCTCAAACTTGATATACTGCGCCACCTTGTGGAAGCAAAGAGAATTTTAAGGCCAAATCCCAAAAGATAATTGAATATTGGAAACACAAGTGCAAATACTTGTGCGTATACTTTATTCGTTTTACAAGGAAAAAGTAACTGTAAAATAATTAACACATGTTCATTTATAGCTATGAAAAAAGAAAATGGTGATTTACATCATATGTGACTTCTTCTCCGAGATCTTCTTCCATGAGGAATATTTTGCAGACTTGCTCACACGGTCCCTGCATGATTCTCAGCAACATAGGATAGTCAGTCCGCTTCAGTTTCACTCGCTCTGAAACACCAGAACATAAACGGAGTGATGGATTAATAACAATAACACATTTTATACACAATGTCCTCAATGTCCGCCTTTGAGCTACATGACACATATCCATATTTGTAATCCACATAGCCAATAGTTCATGAATAATTTAGCACTGACATTCAGACTTTACAGCTGGGTCTGATGCAAGAACTTAATCAAAAACAAACAGCAAGAGCACTCAGTTGTATGTGGGGTAGTTTGCCATTTGTTACCGCAACATAATCTACAATCTCATCAAACATCTTCATCATCATTTTGAAAGCATCATTACTTTTCAGTTACACTTCTGCTAATTGCTGTTTGATTACTGACTGCAATGTGTTTCTTTCAGCTCAGAAAACCCAGTGAGTGAACAGAAATGGAATAATGACAACACCGATTCTGTGTTGAGTTTCCAAATATCATAGCCTCTAAAAAAAAAATAAATAAATTATAAGCTTTATAGAGATTCAAAAGGTTGATCCTGTTCATCTTGACGTAGCATTTTCAGCTACGAAGCTTTATAGAGAAGCTCTGTGTTGTAGCTTTAGTTCAGATTTGATTGCACCACCAGCAATAATGCAAAAACTTCCAACTTTAAAAGTAATAAAACTAAAAGTCTAAAAGTAGATGATAAAATCAGATAAAATAAAATTAGTGGACTGCGGCTAAAGTCTTAACTCACCTCCACTAGCATGGACCAGATAGAGTGCAAAATCATCTGGGCTGTTTTCGATTTTGAACTTGTTAAGGAGAACTCGTAGCACCTGCGGCGTGGTCATACAGCTGTTGATGCGAACGTTAGTCACCGACCCGTAAGCAGGCGTAAACACTGCTGTCTGAGGATGAAATGGAAAAACATTTTAAATATTAATATTTTAAATATTAATTTAGGTTCAGTTAAAATTGTTGAAGCTAAAACTTTTACTCTTTTCACTTTTAAACACATTTTCTCAAGAAAAATGTAACTAAAACCTGTTCCCAAATCACATAAAGTCACATAAATGAACTAACCTAATGAATTTTATTTGATTATTCTGTAAGTTTTTAAAAGTTTTACTTTATGGTTGTAGAAGTGTCCGTTGATGGAGAATCGATGGCGTCGGATTTTCCTCTGGTCACTTGGCGACCTTCGCTGGCCTCTCCTTAAGACCCCGGCATCGCTCTTTGTCCTGAGGAGCTGAGCGGAGCTCTCACTGTCCTCTGTCAAATCAAATGTTGAACCACCTTAAATTACTGATTATTATTCAGTGTAGCCCTAAGCTAAGATCACAAAATAGTGAAAGAAAACCATAGTTTTAGAAATAAACATCACTTACACAGAACTGTAAACAAATTTTATCTTTCGCTTTAATGTGCAAATTTTATTTTTAATTAAAAATGTGTTTATAGCTAATTTCATTTCATCTTAATGCGATCCAACTTTTTTTCGCCAAGATTCAGCCAGTTTAAAAACAAAATATTCTTAGTAAATGACTGATGTTTGAGGCTGCTTATTCGATCCTCATTATAGCCATCAGAGTAATGTACAGTTCAAATGAGTAAAACCAAAAGAACAGGTAGCAAAAAACTGAGAAACAGCTCAAAAAAATCTATAAATACTGAAAGAAGTGTGAGCAAACACGTTCAAAATAAGATAAATCTATCTATCCATCCATCCGCTTATCCTTTTCAGAGTCACAGGGGGTGCAGGAGCATATCCCAGCTGTCATAGGGCAAGAGGCGGGGTACGCCCTGGACAGGTCGCCAGTCTGTCGCAGAGCTAATACACAGAGACAGACAACCATTCGCGCTTACATTCACTCCCGCATTCACACCTATGGGCAATTTAGACTAATTTACACCTTTGGGTTAATATTTTACTCTTACTTTATTGGTTATTTATAACCATGTAGATACAGCTTGAAATATTTAAAATCTAAATGACTGAAGTCTTAAAATATAAATGTATAAAACGAAAGTCCAAAATTTACCTTCTGCCTCCTCTTCAGTCACACCGTTGTCCTCTGGTTGGCTGTCAGGTGGCGTCACTTCCACTGTGGGTGAGCTCTGCTGAGCCTGTTGACCATCTGTGGTGGTGGGAGAACTTCAAACAGGGAACAGGAGAGAGTACATTTATGGGGTGAAGGAGAAGAACTGCAAACTGTCAAAACTGTAAACATACAGCTAAAAATATTTTTTCAGATAAAAACTGCACCTTCAAATGATAACTCCCATCATGTATTTATGACCATAAGCTGTAGTTTCTCAAAAAACTATTATCCTGATATTGATTTTAGTGTGGACTAACAGCCACTAGAATCTTGTAAAGCCATTAAGTTTAAGAGCAGTCCAGGTCTGCACAGCTGAACTAAAACTCCCTCCACACCATGTATGAATCTAGAGGGAGATCTCGATCAGTTTGTGAGATTTTCTTGAGAACACCAGTTTTTCTTTTTTCACTTTGATATGTGTTTGTGATGCCATCAACATGCTGGTCTGTCCTGACTGTAGTGGTGAGTCTTATTATTAGGTTTCCTGTAGTAGCTGCCATTTTTAACCTGCTGTCATATCTGGGTTGGTTAGTTTCAACTTGTGACTGCTGTTCCTCTTTGCCAGTGCAGCTGTTCTTTTAGTTAGGAGTTGTGACAATGTTTCCTGTCATAATCAAGCAAATTTCTGAAGAATCTCACAGCAATTTGGCTACTTATGAGAGTTTTTGTTGTTGTTTTCATGTTAACATCCAAATGGCAGCTCTATGCCTGTGAGGCCTGCTATCCTCGGAGCAAGAATAGCTTCTTTTGATAAATGGGAGCGCTGAAAATGGCACTAAGAGCCTATTGACATGGACTGATTTGCAATAGCTTGGAGTACGATCCTCAATTAAACCAGAAGTGTGGCTTAAAAGATTCACTTTTGCTTATGGAAAGCTGCCAATTTGTATCTTATTTAGGAATTAAACTCCATTTACATGGATTTAAATCTCAAACCCTAATTACACACTTTTAAACATTAAATACCTGCTTGTCTTTCATTGGACAAACTAGATAAAATCTATATCTGCCCTCACTGACCTCTCTGTATCACCATTTCCGGTCACTGGGGTGTAACTGGATCTGTCTGGAGCTCTTACCCTTGACTGTCCAGATTGCAACCCGAGTGCCAAGACGTGGAGGAGGGGGGCGGCCGGATTCGCTCGTGGTCATCCTGCATCTGTAGCCTGATTGGTCGCCGGAGGCCCCAAAAGATATTCAGCAAGCCCTCAACAATCAGTTCCTCTTCTTCCTGTTGGAAGACACGAATACTGATGAATACACACAAACACACATATACAGTAAATACACACAGACTGGACAGTTGCTACTCCTTAGGGATATAGGGTGAAATGGGTGGGGTATATTATATTAAATATATTAAGAGCAAAAGTGAAAGCAGGGATGAAGCCTCGACACATTCAGGTTCTTCTGTTGAAATTTAAAACAATAAAATAAGATTAAACACATTCACTCACTCACACTGTATGTGAGTACATACACACACAAACCGAGAGATGCAATTACTCACCTCTCTGTGCCGCAGCTGCAGATTCTGCCCTTCATAATAGAGGTTGTAAGTTTTAAGATGTGACAGGACTGTTGACCTGAAGACAGAAGTAGTTAAATCACTGGAAGGAAACAAAGTTTTAAGGAGATTCCCACTGATTTACCACCTCGTAGTGCCTGCAGCTGTAATTCTGCATGCACCGTGCACTTTTAACAACACTAGATCAAATTTTGGGGATCTTTATTCATCCCAAAAATGCATAACATCATCACTAATGGAGTGATGCAAATATATCTGAAAACCAGTTGGTGCTAACATCAGTGGATACAGGTCACTGCACTGACAATATTTCTGGCACTTAATCACCACTTTGGTAATTTTGGATTTCACTTAGTTTCTGTGGTGGTGAGTTGAAGGCAGCTGAGAGATGAGCAAACAAAAAGAAAACTATTCTACAAAGTCTCATTCTATGCCACTGTGCAGGGGCAGGTTGTAATATAGCCATGTAGTAATAGATCACCTCCTGTGTAATGCTGGTGCGGCCCTCCACAACATTCCTGATAAAATAAAGTATTCCTTACTATGCTGTTAATGTTAATGTCAGTAAGACCGAAAATAAAAAGAACTAATTAAAAAAAAAAACTTCATATATGTTTAGAGAAAGATAGGGCAGTCTCTGCTGCTGGATTAGTGTTATTGTGTACTTTATGCAGGGGCAGATTGAAATGTTAATTCCAACCCTGTTTAACCCTGAGATTAACAAACTGCCCAATCTCAAATCTGACAAAATTCTCTGACCCACCCAAACCTTAAATTACAATGTTGCCGTTTTCACTGATTTTTCATCTTCTCACAGTTTTCTCCTAGAGGTTTATTCTCCATTAGCATTACTTGATAGCCACTACTACATTTAAGTTCTTTCCCACCAGATAAGAACCAGATGAGATCAGGATTAAAAGATTAAAAATAAGTCACAGAATTGAGATTAATGTGTAATTTTCAGATCCCGTCCTTTCTTTCATTAGCTCTCATTTCTTTTTTAATGTACAGACAAAGGAAGAAGAAAAGTGGGTGTAGCAGTTTCTTGGTGTAGTAAGATAAGAAGCATGTCTAAAGAGAAGCATTTAATGTCTGTTCTTGGTAAGGCTGAGATTCAGTTTCAATTGATGTTTTCTCATCAGCTTAATAAAGCCACCATTAAAAACTTTGGAAAAGACATTTATCTTTGGCTGTGTGAATAAAATGTTGATTTGGCTTTCTGTTGAGAGGTTTGGGGTTTCAGTAGATGCAAGTGTGTGATTTCCTGTCTCTGTGTTAACCCTGTGAGTGACTGGTAACATGATCTGTGTACTGCTGTTTATTATTCAGTCATCTTGGCAGGATATCGTGTCTTGTATGCTTATAGAAGTCAAATGTAATTTGACAATTAACTGACAAGCAGTTTCAGGACCAGGTGAAGTCCTGTTCCCTTAATATTTCAATGTCTCTATACTGAAACCCTAAATAGGAGTCTCACAATACAAGTGAATGTATATGCAGGTAGGCGGAGTAACTGTAACTTTATGTTGTGGAGAAAAATAATTGTTAATAGTTTTCAATGTGCATTATTTATCATTTTTATTAACTGATTGGTCAGACTTCAAAAGCCAAAGATCACACAGTTTGTTAGGTATTAGGGATACTTGTTGTCATAAATAAAGACCTAGATTTCAGATAATGAACACTGCAAACAGTTAACAGGCTGAAACCTTTAAAACCACAAACATCCCTATTTCACATCATCTTTTTTAAATTAATGGTTTTTTTTTAAACATACCAAAGATGAATAAAGGCTACTCATTTGTTTCCCTGTTGTCACTTACTGTGAATTTATAATCTGTATAAACATACTTATGTTTATATGAGAAACAGTGCGGGATGGAAGACTTACTTGCTGACGAACTTGTTCTCTCCGATCTGAACCCCGTACTGTGTATCATCCATTCTCAGTGAGCATGAGAGGAGCTGAGACACAAAGAAGGCACACAGAGTTAATGTCTCATGACTCCTCATGACCAGCAGCGAGCACAGAACAGAAGTGACAGAGTGACTGCAGGAAGAGGAGGAGGCAGAGCTGCAGACCGTAAACAATAACAAGAAGATGATATCTGCTTTCCTGGCAACTACTTCCCTTAAGATAGTTAAACCTCCACCACTGTGTCCCTGTACTAAATCAAAACATATACTATGCGAATGAGGGGAGCAGCTGCTCTCCTCATTCTCTTCTTCGTCTTACAATGTATTTTCTCTTTCCTGTGAGCTCTTTCACATAAACAAACGCTGCACATTTGCACATGCAGCTGTTTTAAATGGCACTCTGCCACCACCCTGCAGAGTTTTCCTTCCCTCTTCGCTGAGTGACAGAGTGTTTCTGTGTGAGTTTGGCAGGATAGAAACCTCCGGATGAAGGACAGGTGCAGGACACATGGACCACCTGCTGCTGCAAATTATTTCAGCTGCCTAAACATTCATCTCTGAGCATGCTACTGGCAAAACACATTATGTGCCTTCATCTGCCATATAGCACGCTTTTCTTTTCTTTTTGTTTTTCCTCAGAACATGAAGACCAAAAGTTAAAGATGCAACTGTTGCAGGGTTTTTCCTCAAAATAGGCCTTTGGAGTCAGAGGCACTTACCAAGATTAGTTTGCATGTAGATGAAGCAATGAATCGCCTTACTTAACACGAAATTGAGCATTTTGCTACCGTTTTAGCAATTTCATGAGCAAAAATACATTTTATGGTTGAGTAAATGTAACCCCACCTAACTCTTTGAGGTCTAAAATCAGTGATGACCTCTGGCCTAGCCCACAAAAGTTATTCCCCAAAATGAAAGTTCATGATAGTTACTTAACAAGCCCATGCTATAAGAAACATCTTTTTTTAAGTAATTAAAATAAGAATTCTTGGTTCTCTAACCAAACCCTGTGTTTTTGAGACAAGCAGAAAGGATATTTTGGAACAACTTTCAATGAAGAATGATAGTTTTTTTTTAACCCTTGACCTTAATAATAATAACAAAAAATACATAATATGATTGCACAGGGTCCTGCGACAGACTGGCGACTGCGACAGACTGGCGACCTGTCCAGGGTGTACCCTGCCTCTCGCCCTATGACAGCTGGGATAGGCTCCAGCGCCCCCCGCGACCCTGAAAAGGATAAGCGGAAGCGAATGGATGGATGGATGGATGGATTGCACAGGGTCATCAATGATGCTGACATAGACCTTAAAAACACATTTTCTTCTGGGGATTTTCCTCTATATGTAGAAAGACCTCTGCTTTGTCATGCAATGCGCGTGATTTTTTTCTACACTGACATATTTCAATAAGTCACAACTGAACTGAAACAACATTTACTGCAGGTCTCAGCTTAGCCTCTGAAGAAAATGAATCCTATTGGTTTAAATGATCGCCTGTTTAAGGCAGATTGCAAAAAAAAAAAAAAAATGGTTAGACATTCATGATGACCTGACAATACAGCTTCAATATCTGTGTGACTTTACACTTAGATCTGTCATCAGGTCACAATTTATTCTTCACTCTTCAAGACACCTACACTGTGTTAGATTTAAGTAACATTTAAGTCCACACTATGCAACAGTGATGACCTACGAAATTACAGCTATACCTACAGCTGCTATTCCTCTGCTGTTTGTTTTGCATCCCTTGCTGTCTCTTGTTTTTCTACCCGTAAGATGATCAGGTCACTTTTGTGGCAGTCCCCAGAGACTCCTTGACAGTAGTCCTTGTTCTACTGCGGAGTGCCTTGGCGAGCTGGAGGCAGAGAGATGGTTCAAGTGGGTGAGCTAACTGAGACTACGAAGACAAGGACTACCAGCTACAATACAAGACGGTGGAGTTCGAATCCTTCCACTGGGTAAGCAATTCACTGGACACAGCTTATTACTGCTCCACTGTTATTTGCAACAAACTCTAAATTTGTATGATTCATGTATATTTAAAAAAAACGTGTGTCTAGCCTCCTTTCATATTCCTTTTAGAGCAACTGTGAGTGACCTGAGGTAGTCTGCAGGCTGATTCCAGCCCCAGGTGTGTACTTTACCCATACCTGCCGTAGACTTTTTTGTTTTGTGTTAACATTGAAGTAGTATTACTGCTAATTAGTTACAGTTAACCCCTGTTTATATACTCCCCACAGTAGTGTTAAATACACTTGATTTACTGTAAACAGGCCGAAACACCCAAAACCATTTTGGACATTAGTTGAAAGGCCTCGGTTTAAACTACCTTCCTGTTACATAGCCAGTGCCTCTGTAACATAACAGCCAACAAAATATGAAATATTAAGAATATATATATATATAAATGTATTATAAGACAACAATGGATCTTACCGTCGTAAAGACTATGAGTTGTTGTTGAGTCACCAGAGAAGAAACTGCCTATGAGGAGAGGCAGCCAAAGTTATAGGCAGGTAGATTCTGTTTGTATCCTCAGGTGTCAGTGATCCAAGAGGGTCTTTTCTTCTGAACGTGACTGTGAACAGACAGGGAAGAGTGGGGACGTTAAAAGGAAGTGCTCCCCTTCCGTTAAATCACTTCCTCCTTTACTCAATCAGCCACACAGGAAGCCGACACAGGGCCTGACACAGCTTAAAACTTCCTCAATTCAAGCAGCACAAATGAATAATCCGCTTACACACACGTGGACGAGCCTCACCCTGTTATCAATCTTTAAACTCTTGGATCAGGCACATACTTCCACAGTTTAGTGTAAACAGAAGCAGCTTCAACACGCAGTGCTGATAAAATAAGATGGGGCTGTCAATCTCTGAAATAAAAAGCCTCAGTTAATGTGGGCAAATTAAATATTTAACGCCAATCAGCTCAGCCCAACGCCAGGGGCTATCAATATTTCATCACCTATATTAGCCCTGTCAAGAGCTCAAAAGCTAAGCACTGACCTACACAATGGAAGCCATTAGCCTTTATTATCACGGTCAAAGGCAGCGGTCTGCGACGGACATGTGGCCAGCTGACAACACAAAAACAATGCCATAATTGTCTGAGATCAACGTGAACTTTATGCCAACTAAACTGGAATCTGATAACAAAATTGATCCTTCTTTCATGAGACTTCAAGCTCCAGAGAAAAAGATTGACTCAGACATGTCACTTTTAACGCTGCTGAGAGGGCAACATTAAAAATGTGAGCCATACTCACTGCTCATTCATGGTGAGACACCCATTTTGTTCTTTTCACTGTTATTTTAGAGCAGTGTCAATCATCTAATACGAGTTAACATATTATTTAATTCAGGGGTTGTAAATGAAAAACTAGATGAATACAAATGATCTTCTTTTGGCTGCTCTCTTTAGTGGTTGCCAAAGTGGATCAGATGCTTCCATCTCACCTTGCCTCTAGCATCCTCCTGTATCACACCTGCCCCTCTACATGTCCTCTTTCACTGCATCCATTTTCTCTGTGGTCTTTTCCTTCTGCCTGGCAGGCTCCATATTCACCTTCCTTTGTTCAGTGTATTCGCTGTCCCTCCTCTGCATGTCCAATCCATCTCAGCCTTACCTCTCCAACTTTGTCTCGACCTAAGCTGTCCTTCTGAAGTATCCATTTATAATGAATACATTATTAGAAATTAATACAGCATTGGTCAGTCATTGGGAGTGAGAGCATCTTCAACTCTTTTCAGGGTCACTCTCTACAAACTAATCATAGTACATCTCACTACCATCTTATAAACCCTCCCTTTCACTCTAATCACTCATCTCTACCCACTGTACCCTGGCTACACTCTCTTCTTCACCTTGGTACTGTCTGTCGCTTTAGATAATTGACCCCACTTCTACTATGAACAACACTTATTCTTTAGACATTTTATTTTTAGTTTACCTGGCACCTTACTCTTTTCATTTTGCTGAATTATGATAGCGATGGCTAAACTGATGCAAAAACGAATCTGCAGCTGGGCTTCAAATTCACTTTTACTATTGTAAAACTATTAGACTGTTATATTTTATAAACTTTATTATTACTTTAGTCTACTTTTAATGTGTTTCATTTGCACAAACAAAAAATGTGATTCAAAGTTTCAAAAGAGGCCTAAAAGTGTTTAACAGGTTTTTTTTTCCTTTTTCGCTCCATTTCAAGTTATCAAAAAAAAAAAAGTGAACAATTTATATTGTTTTAGTTTTAGAACTCCATAAATGTATCAAAACATATGACTGTAATGGAAATGCAAAGCTAAAGCTCTAAATAATCATAAGCAGCCCACTGCAGAGTACTCACGTATTTTTTTTTTTTTTTTTATCAAAATAAGGCAGCTCTACAATAGCAGGCCATAACATGCTCAGAGACCAGATTTCGATGCAGTTACCCTGTTTAATTGAAACATCTCCAAACCATTGATCACTTTTGTCTGTTATAACAAGAGATTCTTGTGTTAGTACAGGGAGTGCAGAATTATTAGGCAAATGAGTATTTTGTCCACATCATCCTCTTCATGCATGTTGTCTTACTCCAAGCTGTATAGGCTCGACAGCCTACTACCAATTAAGCATATTAGGTGATGTGCATCTCTGTAATGAGAAGGGGTGTGGTCTAATGACATCAACACCCTATATCAGGTGTGCATAATTATTAGGCAACTTCCTTTCCTTTGGCAAAATGGGTCAAAAGAAGGACTTGACGGGCTCAGAAAAGTCAAAAATAGTGAGATATCTTGCAGAGGGATGCAGCAGTCTCAAAATTGCAAAGCTTCTCAAGCGTGATCATCGAACAATCAAGCGTTTCATTCAAAATAGTCAACAGGGTCACAAGAAGCGTGTGGAAAAACCAAGGCGCAAAATAACTGCCCATGAACTGAGAAAAGTCAAGCATGCAGCTGCCAAGATGCCACTTGCCACCAGTTTGGCCATATTTCAGAGCTGCAACATCACTGGAGTGCCCAAAAGCACAAGGTGTGCAATACTCAGAGACATGGCCAAGGTAAGAAAGGCTGAAAGACGACCACCACTGAGCAAGACACACAAGCTGAAACGTCAAGACTGGGCCAAGAAATATCTCAAGACTGGTTTTTCTAAGGTTTTATGGACTGATGAAATGAGAGTGAGTCTTGATGGGCCAGATGGATGGGCCCGTGGCTGGATTGGTAAAGGGCAGAGAGCGCCAGTCCAACTCAGACGCCAGCAAGGTGGAGGTGGAGTACTGGTTTGGGCTCATCAAAGATGAACTTGTGGGGCCTTTTCGGGTTGAGGATGGAGTCAAGCTCAACTCCCAGTCCTACTGCCAGTTTCTGGAAGACACCTTCTTCAAGCAGTGGTACAGGAAGAAGTCTGCATCCTTCAAGAAAAACATGATTTTCATGCAGGACAATGCTCCTTCACACGCGTCCAAGTACTCCACAGCGTGGCTGGCAAGAAAAGGTATAAAAGAAGAAAAACTAATGACATGGCCTCCTTGTTCACCTGATCTGAACCCCATTGAGAACCTGTGGTCCATCATCAAATGTGAGATTTACAAGGAGGGAAAACAGTACACCTCTCTGAACAGTGTCTGGGAGGCTGTGGTTGCTGCTGCACGCAATGTTGATGGTGAACAGATCAAAACACTGACAGAATCCATGGATGGCAGGCTTTTGAGTGTCCTTGCAAAGAAAGGTGGCTATATTGGTCGCTGATTTGTTTTTGTTTTGTTTTTGAATGTCAGAAATGTATATTTGTGAATGTGGAGATGTTATATTGGTTTCACTGGTAAAAATAAATAATTGAAATGGGTATATATTTGTTTTTTGTTAAGTTGCCTAATAATTATGCACAGTAATAGTCACCTGCACACACAGATATCCCCCTAAAATAGCTAAAACTAAAAACTACTTCCAAAAACATTCAGCTTTGATATTAATGAGTTTTTTGGGTTCATTGAGAACATTGTTGTTGTTCAATAATAAAATTATTCCTCAAAAATACAACTTGCCTAATAATTCTGCACTCCCTGTAGAAATGCTCTGCAGGATGGTGTGGCTGCAATAGCAGAACCAGCAGCATATAAATCCAGCCAGACTGACCCACGGCTGACCTAGTCCTGTTTCAGATCGGAGTGCTCTTCTGTGTCCAAATGTAGAGCTAATCGACCGTCTGAAATCCCCCCGTGCCTCATTACAACCTCAGTCAACCCGCAGCCTCCATCTACCCCCTCTTTCTATATATATTTATGTCTCATCATTTTTGTACCACAGTAACTCTGCTCTCCGCTGCTTTCTGTTCACAGTTTGCTGCTTCATGTTTCCTTGTGAAAGACTAGAGGCTATCTAACACACTATTACAAACCAGGATCACAACTTCCTCCATCCTCCCCCCGGCTTGTTTTCTGCCCTCTTGCCCTGCTCCCTCTGAACCTCCTCCGTCAATGTCTTTGGCTGAAATGCTCGATGAATAGCTCCTGTCCTCTTCCCCTGCCTTCAGCCTCCACGTTACCACTGCTCTGCCTTGCTATTGTCATTATTGTCATAGCAACACCAAAAACATCTGAGCTCCCGAAACTAGTTCACAACACTGAGCCAAAAATAGTGTGCGTATGTGTATGTGTGTGTGTCTGTTCGTCTCTCCTGCTCCTTGTTAGGCTTACTGGGCTTGTCAAAAAAACAAAACAAAAAAAACAACACAGTGAAGCATGACTCGAATCCGAATATGGCTCCCAGATTCCAGATAAAGACGGAGCTTTTCTTCCTTTTCGGCAGATGGTAGAGCTAAAGATTATCAGCTGCTGGTTTGTTTCACATAAAGTCAATTAAATCTGGAAGAAATTCCCATCTCCGTCAATCAAAGCACACCCACTTTTTTGTGAAATAATGACGCCATGCAAAGTTTAACCATGCTACAAATATTTTCCTAGTTACAGTTCTTCAAAGTACATAGAGCTCGGTATAAATTTGGTGCTCTTTAATTTGGTGTAATTTTCCAGCACTCTGGTCTTTTGTAACTTCAAAAGTAGAGACAATGAAATTACATTTTCAGAGCTGAAACACACACTGACACTTTGTTCAAAACTTAAACCAAATTGGTTTTACGTCCACTTTAAACATCAGTCTCACCAGCTCTGCACATCAATATCATCGGATATATCAGAGCTTCGACAGCCTCAATTTAATGTATATTATGCAGTGCAGGGGTATCAAAAATATAACTTGTGGGCCCAAACCAGCAACCCAAGTGATCTGCTTTGGCAGAGAGGAGGGCTATGGAAAAAATTGCAAAGAGGGAAGGCAGAAATGTTAGAGTTTTACCTGAATTTTTTTTTTTAGGTTTATGGTTTTCTTACTGATTTTCTATGGACTCTGATCACCACGTTCCTGCGTGGATGCCCCTTCACTTCTCTTGTTCTCTGTCACTAATAGTCCATTTAATTGCTCCCCTTGAGGTTCAGAAAGTTAAGGTTTGCCATTGCTGTTCCAAGTGTCTTCAAAAGTGACACCACAATTATCACTGCACCTCCTGATTCCTGAACAAATGTGTGTGCGGCACTAGATTTTAATTATATATCAAAGCAGGAGCACAGAGGGAGACTGCGGCAGGAAAGATGGGATGTTAAAAGGAAAACAAATTAGTTTTCTGTTTCAGCCTAATCTGTTATAGAAGTTTGGTTTTTTAACCGCCCACATGTCATAATTTTGGATTACTATTTTAAAATTTGACTTATTATCTCAAATTTCTGAGAAAATAACTTTAAATGTCAAACAATGGCCTATTGTGTATGTGTGTGGGTATTTATCTAGTTATTGTTCGGGTGAAGACTGGGGCTGTGTTGTCATTGATTGTCACTGATCACATAAACATTGACTATTGCAAGGGCCGTAAACACCAGGCTAAAACTTTCCTAAGATGGTGTCAAAAAAAAAATAAAAGCGTCCAGATGAACTGGCAGTCAAAGCATTTGAGATGTCAGAAAGGGCTATGGGAACTTGAAAAGACTATTTTGATATTTGTAATGGTCAAAATTTTAGAGAATAACTCAACACAAATCAGTAAGGGAAACCTTAAGTTGACTGGTACTAGCTACCAAAACTAAATATTGTCCAGTATTTGTGAAAACATTTAATTTTAATGTTTACATTGTGGTTTACGCTTACCTACCTAATCACTCAAAAGTTGAAATCAAACGTCAACAAAACACTTTAAAAACACCAGAAACGACCATGGTGGATGGATTTATTGCTGGTATATATTAAACTGCAGTTTACAATATACTGGCAAGTGAGTGCACATTAATATTCACTTTTTTTTTGGCACTGCCTCCGTCTATCCGGCCCTATTTTCTTGTTATGTAACGCGTTTTAAGGACACATCTTTATGCACACTCTGGTAGAGACCCAGTGGGGTAGTCCTATCATTTGCTGTTCAAGATTTAGGCTAGGGCATCATGTTTGGTGCCCTGATGTTTCCTCACAAATGCCTCATATTCGAGGTTTTTAGTCTGTCTGTCCCCTGCGCTTTTAATAAATAAATAAATCTGCAAATCGTCCTGCATTTGATGCTGTCGAAACACTAAAACTTCATTTTTATACAGGCAACCAAAGAATCCATCTGCAGTCAGCCCGTATCGCCACATCTACCGCTCAGACACATCATCATGATCAGCCTACTCAGCCACACCGACCCCTCTGTCTGCTTCGTGCCGACTTTTGGAAGTCTTCTCACGGCTCACCTAACATAGGTCTCCTCGGTCCTTTTCTTTCGTCTTCCAGTCGTTTCTCCTGAACTGAGCGTTAGCCGTTAAAACTCCTGGGACAAGTCGCTCGTTCTCCTGCCGTTGGACACAATCAGCGGGGCGCGTGCAGCAGTGCATCCAGAAGCTGGTAGGAGGAGAGCGCGAGAGGTCCATCTGTTGTGGCGGAGCTCGCGGCACAGCAGCGTCGCGGGGCCCCGGCAGGGAGCCAATCAGAGGGCGAGGCTGACGTGTCTTTGTTCGCGCTGCGTGAGGAGATGAATGAGAAGTGGACAACAATAGCAGAGCAGAAGGCAAGGACATTATTCAACAGAAACCCCAATTTAATGGAAGCACGACACAAAAGTACAATGTCCCACGTCAAACTCTGTCCACGCATGTGCAACTTCATGCTAGTTTATGGCTTTTAAGGAAGATCAGATCTGCCAAAATACAATAAACTTTAAAAAAAAATTTCATTATTTATTACTGTCCAAGTCAAAATTTCGAGTTATGCATCTCAAAATTTCAACTTACAAGTTTAAATGAGAAACTTACATTTTGAAAAAAATACCTTCAAATTTATTTTTTAAATAAATAATTTTGGTGTCAGAAACAAACTTCCATACATTAGCTCCCTTTTATAAGAAGACTAAACATTTTGTTTTCTTTTCCCTTTTTCCTTAAAAAAGTACTGTTGTAGACTTGGTGTAACCTCTGGCGTCCTCGATCATCACAACATGGACATAACCCATTTCAACTTCTAGCCATCTTGAGGATCTGAAAATCTTGTGGTCCACTGAAACATTTAATCAGAACTCCAATCATCATACAAACCTAAGAGGAAATACTTCCTGTTTCATGTTTTCACTGATTCTCTTTGTCAGAGAAAACAGCCAAAGGGAAAAATCTTTCTTCATGCCTTCACTCTGGTGATAAAAATGAGCAATTTTTAAAATCTTATTACTGAAACTTTAAAACACTGAATAAACTAATTACAACCATTCTTCAATAAAAGACAGTCCTGTTTTTGTACACGTATAAAACATAGACATAACCACCTGCTGAACTATAGGAAGCTGCCTGCACTCACATATTTGCATCTATTGACTTGTATATTGTTTTGCTTTCGTTGTTGCTTCCTTTACTTGACTGTTCTGTGTGTTTTACTGTGGATGTGGCCAATCTTTAATAGCTGGTTCACTCAGTCTTTGGCCTCTCTCCACACACTCTACACCATATGGCTGGTTTCAGCCCGATTTTAGTTTTAATGCAACTGATAAAACTACAAAAAACATGTCAGTTAAGTATTGTTTCCTTTTGGTTACAAAATTGGTACATTTTGGCTAAAGCCATTGTTCCCATTACTTGTCACGATTCATGAATTGGAACTCGAGTTGTTTGTTTTTTTTTGTCCTCATTTAATCTGGAAATTGTTCCTTTGAATTTACAGCAATGAAAATTGAAGGTAATTTTCCTTTGTTGTTTCAATTCATAATTGCAGTCTTTCTTAACCGACTTTCCCACCTTCTGCAAATTAAACTGTGACCGACACAGGAAAAACTGATTCTAGTTGTTTAAAACAATTCAACTCTTTACACTGAAAAGACCTTTAAAAAAAAAAAAAAAAAAAAAGTTAAAATAAAATAGTGCTGACCAAAGCTCTGGTTCGAGCTACTCAAATATTCAAACATGTTACCTCTTCAATAAAATGAATTAAATATTTTCATTTTAGTTTCAGTCATCTTTGTGGGAAACACAATTTAAAGAAAATGTTTCAAATCTCAGTACATTTTGATATTTTATGCTTTTCGACGTTAAAGACTGAAAGCTTTGTAGCCCATGGGACATCTCAGTCTAGAGATACTCTGTAGCTACATTACTGACAAATGAGACAAGGGTCTGTCAGTGACCATGTGCATTGTGTCCAGGATCAGATTACTTAAAACTAGATTTTGACAGGCGGTGCCCTCTGTTGTTGTTGTTGTTTTGTTTTTTGGGGGGGGGGGGGGAGGGGGAGAGAGACTCTGCAGCACTTTTAGCGCTGCCTGGTTTGTATTCCAGTCTCTGTAAACCCTAGAGATGACTGTGCGGGAAAATCCAGCAGTTTGAGAAATAATTAGATCAGCCTATTGGGTATCAACAACCATGTAACATCAAAAGTCACTTAAAATCACGCTCTGGTGCTTAGTTTGAACTTCAGCAGGTGGTCTTGACGATGTCTACATGCTTAAATGTATTTAGTTGCTGCTGTGTGAGCGAAAAGGAGGAATGGTGACAATTAAAAAAAAAAAAAAAAAGACAGAAGACTAAATTCATTCAGTAACATCTTATTAAATAGTTTTAGGGACAAAGAATAAAACATTTTGTTGCTACAATTAGTTTACACAATTTATATTCCAGAATGTTTAGCAAACTTTACTCCATTAAATATACATTTGTGTTTTTACATCTATTTAAAGTTTCTCAGCTTGTTCTTGGATTTATATTGGTAATGTGTTAACATGGACAGAAAACAATGTTAGAGTAAAAAAATACAATATGAAAAGATCATAAACAGGATTCCACCAAACCACAGATTTGAAATAGGGTTAAAATGTATTTACTTTTAAAATAAAAAGTACAAGAAAATGGTGCGCTTTCCAGCATGATTTAAGATTCAAAGTTATGATTCGTTTCTTACAAATATTTGCTTGCAAAAACATAAAAACTATGTATATAAAAAAAAACATTTAAAAAGATAGAACACTTAATACACAGAAGTATAGTCTCCAGGTAATGACCCCTTCAAAATAACTGAAAGGGATTGATGTCTTTGTGTTACGCACCTTATGGTCACCTTTTTAAGAGCCATGTGAATGTAATTCAAACCAGAAACAATGTTTTTATTTTGTTTTTTACTGTAACTGGCTGCTTCTTTCACAGCTGTGCGAGAGGTGCATGTGTACTAAATCCTACAATAAGACAGGAGTACAATAATAAAAAACTGGAGGAAGCTGCCATGAGGCACAAAGACATCCCATGTTCATCTTCACATTAAGCGATAAGGCAGGTTTCACTCAGCTGCTTGATAAACAACAGGCTCTTAATAAGGTGACCAACGGGTGTGTCCTCCTCCTGCATTCAGAAATGGTGACAATAAAAATTCCAGAGGAGAAAAACAAGGTACACCAATCACGAGGACACAGATGCATCTTCACTGCAGGGCCAAGAGTGTGCAAGGAGAGACTGATGTGATGGGAGAAGTGCTGGTTGCATGAACATGATATGACACAGAAAACAAGGTCACGAGTCGTGTGCATGCCAGAAATTTACTACAGCAGGGGCCAACCCCCCCAAAACTACCCTCTATCTCCGTGGAAGCTGCTTAAAAGTCTGACTTTGATCACTGCCAGCTCTTAGAGCTAGGTTACATAGTCACGACACATCAGCTGGAGTGCCAACAACACACTGCTTATTTTACCAACCACCTGGTAAAGTCCCTTTGCAAGTCAGCCAATAATTTAAACGAGGGAGATGAGGTTTTAGATTTACAGTTTTCGCACGTCAGTTATCTCTAACCCTGGGCTCTTTTGTGACATCATTACTGTTTTTTTACCATCTACTCTGGATGGTCATTCAGTATTTTGGAAAAATCAGTCTGCGACCTCGTAAGGAGTTTCAGCGGTATAGTCAACGCAAATTATATTACTGTAATTGCATATTTTATTTGACAAACAAATGGAAATCTATAAAAATGTCCCAACACCTTTAACCCTACCTAAAGAGTGACGCCCCTGTAGATATTAAGGGTCACATAATTAATAACTATGGTTTATTTTGGCATAACAAAGTATGAGACGTCACCAAATCAGAGCAGTACGTCATAAATGGAACTACAGCTGGACCTGTTTTAATTAGGTCATTAATGTTCACACCTCCTTTAAAGTCTTCAAAAGCACTGTAGTAATATTTCAGGTTTCCAGGTTAGTGCGTATGAAGTCATCTGGACCCCAGTCTTCTTGGCACCATTACATGTGCAAACAGTACTTCGTAGTAAAAAGGCCCTGATCTGTAAATTCTGAACTATCCAGTTCGACATTTAAAAGTGTTCATCTTTTGCTTTCAAATGCAACATGATAGAAATGGAATGAAATAGAAGCAGCTTTTATATTACGTCAGAAACAACCCTTTCAAAGCCTCTCTCGCCGGGTGACCTTCTAAAAGTACCGATTGGAGCTGGGGCGGAGGGCAGGAGTAGCTGTCAATCATTACCGGTCTTTACAGGGCTTCAACAAGTAAACTAAAACACACTATTCTATTCTGAAAGGGACGCATAAACCCGTTAGACTTTTTCTTTTTTAAAACCCCCCATAAATAAATAAATAGCTTTAATAAGAGATAAAAATGGGGGAATCTGGAATGAGACTAAACTAATCACGTCTCTCAGTAGCAACAAATGTCAATGAAAAGTTTTGGTATATGGTAACAGAACAGCAGAAATACAAATAAAGAGCTTTGAGCGTTTTGGTTTTATAAAAATCTCAAGTGGGCTACTCTTTATTTCTATGCATCATTTTTTTATATTGTTGCCAACTCTGTGGTATTTTTTTCAAAAGCTGCTCTTTATACATAGAAGCAGCAGAGGCACACAGTGTGGTCAGAAAAGAGTGGCTCTGTTTTTGGGGTGAGGGGCACGCCTGGGTTAATACCGTACAGACTGCAAATGCTTTGAAACTTAGTAGGAGATGAAAGAGAGCGCGTATTGATGACTGAGGGAGAGCAGGAATGTGAAGAAAAAGTCATGACCAGAGTTAAACAAGTAAACATTGATACGTCATGACTGTCTGGGAAAAAAAGAACCCCCCCCAAACTGCCACACTGCACATGTGAGCTGATGAAGGGCACAAAAGAAAGAAACTGTTAGATTTATATACTCTATAGTCAGCAAAATACACTGTCCTTACCTCCCAGTACAATTATATAGCCTTTAGGTAAATCCTACCTTAATATACATCCACAGTGACCCCAAAACTGTGAGACAAGTCCCACATGGAGCTGTGCGAGAACACTTATTCTCATGTCATCATTCATCAGTTTCATATATACTCACACAAGGTCTCCCTGACAAGGCCACATGTCCGTGTTACTGTGCGCATTAATGCAGCTCTTATAAATCCTCTGCCGTCACCATGATGATAGTGGCATTATTAAAAGCTTGTCTCATTAGTTAAGAGCCAGCATGTAAAGTAAATAAAGGGTAGCAGATTTAAATTAAAACTTTAACGAGCATGTTCAGGAAAGGCAGAGTTTTGGTCCTGTTAACAACTGATGAATAATACTGACATAATCTAAATAAATGTAAAC